CTCCGGCAGGGAGGACGGGCGGCGAGCGCGAGCAAGAGGCGGAGGAGCCCCGGGCAGAGGGCGGGTGCACCTCGGAGGGCCCGCCCACTCGCCGAAGGTTTTTTTTTGAAAATCCCGAAGACGGCTCGACGCGCCCTGGCCCCCAATCGTCATTCGACGAAGGCAGAGAAGCATTCCTCGTTATCCTTTGCTCTGTCCCTGCTCTTCCTCTGCCGCGAGACGAACACAGAGCGAAGACGGCCCACGGAAGCGCCAACAAAGGCACTGTGAGGCTCTAGCCCTGAGCTGCAGGTCGCGGAGAGACGGGCCTCCAGGCACCGAACCGAGGAGAAACTGGACTCGAAGAAGAAGAAACGCCATAAACACAGAATTTCGGCGCTCCGCGCGGACTTCTTGCATCTGTGCTGGACCACCCTCCCTGGCGCGCTCAGCGCGCCAGGGGCGGCGCTGGAGGCGCCGCCAAGGGGGGCCCAGCGCGGATCCAAGAAATCCGGGCGGAGCGCCCAAAATTCATGTTTATGGCGCCCTTCCTTCTTCGGGGCATAGGAGGCCAGAAGATCCTGTCCGCGTGGCTTCTTGGGGTGGGCGCCGGACCTCCCCGTCCCCTGGCGCGCGCGGCGCGCCACGGCGAGGGGGGCGCCCGAGGCGCTGCCATAGGGGGCCTCCGAACTGGGGAAACCACTGCGCTGGATTTCTTGATAAGCGTGGGGGGGTACCCCCCCCGACGGTGGGGTCAACCTCGCCTCGTCGCCGCGGCGCGACGATGCTCGGAGCGCCTGCGGCGCGCGGTGGCTGCCCGCGACGGGGGTCGATGTGGGGCTGTCGGGGGGGTGACGCTCCCCCGAGGCTCATAAAAAATTCGTGGTAAGTACCGGTACGGCTACCCCCTGGACCAATCCCGGGGTGCGTTCTGACCAGAATTTCGGAGCGAATCCAGCAATAGCGACGACGGCCTCCCAGGAGGCCCCAAAAAAGGGGAAAACGGGCGAAAGGGATGCGGTATACGGGTGCCTCTGCCTCCTCTGACGAGCGGGGTGGTTGTGCTTCCGTGGCTCGGCGGCGCGCGCACACCGAGGCGGAGAGGAGGTGCCGCGGGCGGCCCTCGGAGGAGGCCCGGGGAGGGGGCGCCGGACGGGGCCGCGGGGCGGAGCGGGCATGGCGATGCCCGACGGCGGCTGCCCCTCCTCGAGTGGGGGGGTCGACTACGACATCGATCTGCCCCAGGATTGATATGATCCTCGTCGGATCCACGGAGCTCGCGTGAAAGGTCCGTAGATCTACGACCATGCTCAGTACTTGTGTTGAAGATGCGACGTGGAGATCAATTCTGGCGTGTATCCATTTGGAAGTCGATCCCCTTCTCGACCTCTCCCGCCGCCTCCCGGCCTGGTGTAGGGTCTGACGCTCCCCCCCTGTCCTCTTTGCCTCCAAAGCCCCACCAGACCAGACCAGGTGGCTCCTTCGAAATCGGTTCCCGGCCATGGGGGGGGCTTTTGGATTGAGGTCGCACAGACCGCACATGCAATAGATAGTAGTTCATCCTGCGGCTCATGGCGCGTGGCCCCTCCCACGGACCGACGACGCCAACTGCAGCGTGTCCTGCCCGCATCCAGCACGACCCACCACGGACGATTGCGAGAACCGCTCCCCACACTTTGGGGCCCCCCTCTTGACAAGGACCCCGTCGCCCGAACCCGAAGGAGCCCTCCCGGCTTGAAAAGAAGGCCTCCTCGGAAGCCCCTCGGGGGGGTCCTTCTCCTCCTCCTCCTCCTCCTCCTCCTCTGCCTCCTCCTCCTCTTCCTCCTCCTCCTCCTCCTCCTCCTCCTCCTCCTCTGCCTCCTCCTCCTCCTCCTCCTTCTCTTCCTCCTCCTCCTCCTCCTCCTCCTCCTCCTCCTCCTCGCTCCTCCTCGCTCCTCCTCCCCCCGCTCTCTCTTACCTCCTCCTCCTCTGGCCTCGCTCCTCCTCCTCCTGCCTCCTCCTGCCTCCTCCTCCTCCTCTCCTCCTCTCGCTCCTCCTCTGGCCTCCTCCTCCTCCTCCTCCTCCTTTCTTCCTCCTCCTCCGCCTTCCTCCTTCTCCCTCCTCCTCCTCCTCCTCCTCCTCCTCTCCTCCCCCCCTCCTCCTCTGGCCCGCCTCCTCAGCATGGCCGCCCGCCCTCGGCGCCTCCCTCCCTCCCCTCCTCGTTCGGCGGCGCCGAGGTGGCAGGGAGCCGCCCCCCCCCCCCCCTCTCTCCTTCGGGCACAACTGCTGCACCAGCCGAGGGCCCTCCCTGAGGGGAAGGGCGGCGGGGGCCCCCCCCTCGGCCGCCCCCCCCGCCGCCCCTTCAACGCAAGCATCCCCCCCCAACCCCAGTTCGACCCACCCCCTTGCAACTCGCAAGCCCCCCCCGCCCTGAGTTGCAGTCCCCCCCCCTTGAAGGACCCCACCCCCCTGGTTCGACCCCCCCCCTCCTTCCCAACGTCCGCAGACGCACTGTTTCATCGATCCATCCATCCATCCATCCGTCCATCCACCCATCCAGATAAACAGACATACATACATACATACACATTTACCTACATGCATACATACACACGTCCATACACACATCCTTACATCCATCCATACAACCAGTACACACATGCATGCAAACACGCATACATGCATACATACATATCTACATGCAAGCATACATGCATACGTACTTACGTGTATACATATATACTACATATGTACATACGTACATAGGAGCACAAAAAGATAAAGTGAAGGAGAAAAACATGAACAAGGAAAAAAAGGAATAAAAAAAGAAATGAGAAAAGAGAAAGGAAGGGGAGCACACGTACGTACGTACATGCACGCATACGTACACATACGCCCACATACAGACATTCATTCATGTATACATGCGTACATACATACGTACATACGAACATACATACAAGCATGCATGTCTATACCTATGAGTACGTACAAACATACACACATACAGACATACATACAATCATGTTTACATGCATACATGCAGACACGCATACACACCTTCATTCATACGTCGTTGTCCTTTCCGGGAGGAGGGTAGATGCGGAGCGAGCGATCATTGAATCACGTTACGGCGTGGCTGGCACAGTAGCGTGAAGCAGAAGACCGTCAGGCAGACTGTGATCGCTACACGAGCCGACCTGCCATGGGCAAGCTCATGCGATAATTGATGGCCTGAGAGAAAGGACTGACAAATTGTGCGTGTGAACGGCTGGACGTGGAAGGGGAGGGGGAACCGACGAGGAAGACGAGGAGGACCCGACGAGGAGGAGGAACAAGAGGGGGCAGCACACACGCACACGCACTCAAAGGTACCAATCCAAAGCCTTGACGGTCCGCGACAAGACGATCGACCGAAACCGCAAGACCCGACGAGGAATCCGAGTACGTATCGTGTTGTCGAAAACGCAGCGCAACGAAGGAGAGATGCCTCTGGAAATGCTGTGCGTGAGTGTTGTACTCGAAGAAGTTGCGCCGGAGCCGGAACCGCCCCAGAGACGCCTCAAACGCTGGCGACGGCTGACGTCGCGACGAGCACAGCCGAAGCAGAAAAAAACGAAGGCCACAGCGGTGCTGGCCGACGTGGCCTCGGCGGGTGCAGGGGCGAGCGCGCGAGACGGGCCAGCACGCCAAGATCCGGCGAGGGCCCCTCGCAAACACCATGGCTCCCAGCGGCGCTCACAGTGGGGGCACTTGGCCGCTGATTCTTGTTGGGGGGGTGGGGAGGAGGGAGGGAGGGAGGGAGGGAGGGAGGGAGGGAGGCGAGGGGAGGAGAGGCGGAACGCCCCGGTGGACCGTTGCGTGGACGCTCTCGCCCTCCAGGCGGGCTCGAACTGTGAAATATGTTGTTTTGTTCCGCCTGGAAGGGAGCGCGGGCGCAGAGGAAGAATCTGTTCTCACGCCACACTGTGCGGCACTGACGGGTTATGTTTTGTTCCCCCTGGAAGGGCGCGCGGGCGCAAAGGAAAAATGTGTTCTCACGTCACACTGTGCGGCACTCAGTGACGGGTTACAACATACATAGATACATACGTGCGTACGTACATACGTACGTACATACTATATATATACGGGTTCCCCCCCAAGGACCCTGCACACTTTTCTTACATATCATTTTGGGCGGGTGTAAGCTTGAATGGTTTTCGTCGGCGGCCCTTGTGTGTAGCTTCCGTGAGCACTGCTTCCAGACAGCACGGCGGTTGTCTGGAACCGACCTCTCATTGATATGACATTGTGAAAACACTGTAAAATCCAATTTTCCGATTTTTCCCATTCTCTGGGTACGAACCCTCGCTGATGCGGCAGATGGGAATGTTCCAATTCTCGAACCCTCGCTGGTGCGGCAAAAAGAAAACACTGTGAAATCCAATTTTTCCAATTTTTCCAATTCTCAGGCGCCGAACCTCGCTGGTGCGGCGGAGGAAAACATTGCAGAATCCAATTTTCCAAATTTTCCCATTCTGTGGCGCTGAACCGCTTGCAACATCGATGAGGATTCAGTCTGAGAGAATTGGAAAAATGGGAAACATTGGATTTCACAGTGTTTTCTTTCTGCCGTACCTGCGAGGGTTCGGCGCCTGAGAATTGAAACATTGGAAAAAATGATTTTACAACGGATTGGCCAATCCAGAACACATTGATATGACATGGTGAAAACAATGTAAAATCCAATGTTTCCGATTTTTTCCAAATCTCTGGGTACGAACCCTCGCTGATGCGGCAGATGGGAATGTTCCAATTCTCGAACCCTCGTTGGTTGGTGCGGCAGAGAGGAAACGCTGTAAAATCTAATTTTCCATTTTTTCCAATTCTCAGGCGCCGAACCTCGCTGGTGCGGCGGAGGAAAACATTGCAAAACCCAATTTTTCCAAATTTTGCCATTCTGTGGCGCTGAACCGCTTGCAACATCGATGAGGATTCCATCTGAGAGAATTGGAACAATTGGAAAATTGGATTTCACAGTGTTTTCTTTCTGCCGTACC